GAGCGGACGGGAGGGAGGGGGTGAGGGACCGAGGGGTGCAGATCGGGGCCCCCCAGCCTGTGGTGTGCACCCGTAAATGGAGCGGGCGTCGGTTACCCTTCGGAGCCCCACTTTGATGAGCGAAACCCCAGAAGTCGCCGGCGACCGCCTCCCTGCTCCCGACCCCAGAGAGGGCCCGGGGTCCTGGCTGGGGGCAGGCCGAACCTCCGGAGCTGCTTCTGCACCCCGCTCACTGACCGAACCCAAGGGGCTGCGTGCCTGGGAGAGCTGGGGAGATGAGGCCATCGTCCAGCCTTTCCCCCAAACACCACACGCCGAGCTTTGTGCCCCTGGGAGCGGGAAGTCACTAGCTCAGGGAAGCGACAACATAGAGTCAAGGGCGGTGGACAGGAGCAGGGGGCTCCGCGCACCCCGGCACCCCCCAGGGAACTGGGCTTACTGGAGGGTCCGGGGAGCGCCGTAAAGCTTCCTTGGGCCGATAGCATCCCCAGTGCCCGCAGCCCAGAGAGTCGACGAGCGCTCAAGCCACGGGCCCCGCCGGCAAGACAGGGCGCTTTGTCCCCGGCGGGCCCGGGGATGCTGCCGTGCGCGGGTTGGATACGGAGGTTCGCCTGCCCGGGAAGCGCTGGCGACCGCCGCCGGGCAGCGGTGCTTGGAGTTCGGAGCTGCAGGCACCGCGTGTGCGGGAGGGAAGTTCCCACAGTTGCAAAGAGGGAGCAAAGTATGTGTTCCAAACTTTCCACGGTTCCAAACTGAGCGCTTCCATTAAGAGAAGCGGTGTGAGGGGAAAAGCATTCTGGGTATTAGCATGCAAATGAACGGTCCCGGCTTCCAACTCCGCTCGGGATTCCCACCGCCGCGCGCCTGGATTTCGCTGAGCCACGCGCGCCCTGGGGGGCTTCCAGGCGAGGCGCCTTGGGGAGACCAGAGTTCGAATTCGAGACCTCGGCTTTCAGGTTGTGTGTTCTGGTGTCACTTGGCTGCTCTGAAGCCTCAGAGTCAGTTTCCTAGTATGTATAACCGGGACAGCAGCACCTGTCTCATGAAGTGATGAGGATTCAAAAGGTCACGTCTACACAGCACGCAATTCTGTGGTGGGTCTCTCTTCTCCCTCACCTCTGCCCTTCCTAGGGCGTAGTAGGTGCTAAACGCCTGTTGGAGAGAATACATGAAGCTTGGAGGCTTGAGGAAAGTTCCCTGTCCCAGGAGTTAGGCAATCTAAGTTCTAAACCCAAACTGGTTGTGTCCCCTCAGGCTAGTGTTTTATCCTCTCTGAGCCATAGCTCAGAGTTCTTGGGCGGACCCCAGGATCCACAATATTTGTGTTCAAAAGTGTGTGCAGGGAGCAGCCACAAAGAGGAAAGAGATCTGGTTATTGAGTGCTTACGGTATACACACGTCATCTCTCTAAGGTACATGTAGATAGATACATTCTCCAGCGGAAGAAACAGGGAAATGAGTGACTCACCCAAGGTCACACAGATCCAACCAGTTAACCTGAGTGTGCCCTTTCCATACCAGTGCCTCATGGTCTGGCTATGATCATGAACTGGCTCTCCAGTGCCTTGCTTAGAAGACCATTCTGTGACTGGCTTCATCCCAGAGGGTTTGCCCAGTGAAGATGGATTCACAGAGTGCGCTCAGGATGGACCCTCATCCACAGTGCAGTGAGGGTAACAGAAGATGCATCAGCCCCATTTGCAGATAGGAAGCCTGAGGTTCAGGGAGCTTGAGTGACTGGCCCAGGATCCCACCATGGAGAAATGGCCAGAGACAGATCAGATCTCAGTTCTGGCTCCAGCTGCATGTCACCTAGGCAGTAGAATTGTTAGGGGAGCACAGAGACTGTGATGATCTCTCAAATTAATCTCTAACTCGACCTTCGTTTTTGCCTATCTCTTTTAGGCTCCCTCCCAGGATTCCATTCTGTACTTCAGGCTACAAGGTGTGCTTAGAGGACATACTTTTTTTTTTTTTTTTTTTTTTTTTTTTTTTTTGTAATTGAGGTGAAATTTACATAACAAAATCTACCCATTTTAAAGTGTGTAATTCAGTAGCACACATGATATTCAGTGTCCTACAATAATACCTCTATGAAGTTCCAAAACATTTTCATCACTCCAAGAGAAAATTCTGTACCCATTAGGCAGTCACTCCGCACTTCCAGCCCCTTTCAACCAGCAAGCTGCATTATGTCTCTATGGATTTACCTGTTGTAGGTATTTAATATAAATGGAATCACACAATGTTTGATCTTTTGAACTGGGCTTTTTTTCACTTAGCATAATGTTTTTGAGGTTCACCCATGCTGTAGCATAAATCAGTACTTCATAATTTTTTATGGCTAAATTCCATTGTAGGGATATACTATCTTTATCCATTCATCCATTTATGGTCTTTTGGCGATTGTGAATAGTATTGCTATGAACATTCATGTACAAATAATTGTTTTAGTTCCAATTTTCAATTCTCTTGGATATATACCTACCAATGGAAGTGCTGGGACAGAAGATAATTCTACGTTTAACTTTTTGAGAAACCAAACTGTGTTCCACTGCTGTGGTACCGTTTTACATTCTTACCACACACATATGTTTATAAGTAATTTTACAGTTGGTCAAGCTTCCCATTTTATAAATGAACATGTTGAGGCTCAGACAGGTTAATCTCTCCAAGGTCACACAGCAGGGTCCAGACTAGAACCAAACTTTCCTGAGTCTCTAACCTTTCACCCACCAAGAGCCTCCCACCCTCTCAAAGGCCCAAACTACCATCCTGAGCATTCATTGATATATTTGACAAACCTGTCCAGTGAAGAACTAAGTTAACCATATTTATGAAGCTCTTTCTCTTCTCTCAACATTTGTTGAAAGAGCCCACCACCATGTTCCCAATTTCCAGGCTGCACCTTGAAAAGATGCAGACCTTGCAATCCCTGCATCTGCCTCCTGCTGCTGGCCTGGCGGCCTCTCTTCTGTTGCCATGGAAACCACGCACCTCGGGTTTGGCAGTGCACCAGCTGGACAGGGAACTGAGAGCATCCTTGTCTCCCAGGCTAAGTGGAGCTGTCAAGGTTATTCGCTCACTAAGTCTGTATTTATTGAGCACCTACTAAGCACTAGGTTTTGGGGTTCTTTGTTTTAGACACTAGGGATATAGTTGTGGACAAGCTAGACCATGGATGGTGCTACCAAGGAGCTCACAGCCTCGGGGAGGAGACAGACAGAACACAAAGAAATAAAAAAGGCTTTTTCTGGCTCCTTTCCCCAGTTCTTCAAATTCTCCCATTTTTTCAAGCCCTGCTCAAATCCCATTTCCCCTGGGGCATCCTCCTCACAAGCTCAGATCCAAGTGATAGCTTCTCTCAGCTCTCACAGCGCTTTTTTTTTTCTGATTGCAAGTGATATGTGCATTGCAGAAAATGTAGAAAAGACATGAAAACACAAAGAAAAATAAAGATCTGAAATCTTATCACCAAGAGGTAAGCATTTCCTTCTGGTCTTTTCCCCTTTCTACATGTGTATAATATTTTTCAGGTTTATTTGTTGTTGTTGTTGTTGTTTTTTAACAGAACTGGGTCCTATTTTAGTTATTGCTTTATAATCTTGTCTCATAATAATATATTTTCTTCCCAGCACATTTTGAAGTTCCCCAAGGGCATGGACAGGGCATTGATAATAATAGAGAACATTTGTTGAACGCAAACTGTGCCAGCCACGGTACTGAGTGCATTACTTAGTGTACCCTCTGTAATTCTCAAAACACCCTTATGAGGTGTCTGCTCTGGGATTCTCATTTTACAAATGAAGAAACTCAGGACTTGGCCAGGTAAAGAAAGGAAAGTGATGGCCAAAAGCATGCATGAGACAGAGTGGTCCCTGGACCTTGATTTGCTCCTAGGGACTTCCTCATGAACCCCAGCTGCCAGTCTTTGTTGAATGATCGGCCATTAGCCAGGGACCCAATAGGAGGAGTTGATAGAATAAAGCACAGGAGAGAGGCACCCTTGTTTCTGCAGGACAACAAGAAGCCTCCCCACCTGCCTTTACTTCTTTTTTTAAGTTTTTAAATTTTTTTAGTAATCTCTACACCCAATGCAGGGCTCGAACTCACAACCCCAAGATCAAGAGTCCCCCGCTCTTCCAACTGA